TTTTTTTCGAACACGCTCNAAAAAATGTGTTTATTTACGACATCACATTACAAACATCTAAAATTATCAGTGTTACATATAAACCTTCCTCTTGAATTAGTCTATCTATTAAAAAAAACGCGTTAAAATCTGTTACGTAGTTTTAAAGATCTAAGCATACATAAGGACAGACAGCGGGGGAGATGCGTTGCATGATTTCGTTACATGGCAATTCGCATGAAACGAACATAATCTACCGTGCGTAAATAAGTTTCACTTCAAAAACTTTTGGGTGTTTCATTCCCACCAGCCACTAATGCTGATGGGCGGGCAGCCCTCAGGACTACGCCAGAAGGTAGGGCGGAAAGCCCTCTTCAGCCTTTTTTCAGGAATCGTGGGAATGGGTGGGTTGTGATTCGGGTGAGAAAGTTGAGACAGACGAAATGAAGACAGAAGAGAATGAAGGATTATCTGTGGAATATTACTGCCCCAGCATTTGCCTAAGTGATCCAAGGAAACCACAGAAAAACTTGGACGACCAAGGGAGACGGGACAGACCCGCAATCGAACCGGCGTCCCCCCGAATGCTAAGCAATGGTCTGAACCTCTAGGCCATGCCGCTCGATTTCTGTGATTAAAAAAAGGCAGACGGATTCGGAATCAAACCGGCGTCCTCCCGAATGCTAAGCAATAGACTAAACCTCTAGGCCATGCCGCTCGGTCCTTCTATCTTTATAAAAGTTCTTGTTTATATATATAGCTTTTATGGGATGAAAAGCTTTTGGCATTCAATACTTGAAGATCAAAATGTGTAGGGAAAGTCCATAAGATACTTAGCACGACTTGGTAGAAAGAAATTCTAGTCTAGTCTGGCGTTACGGTCCTGTTAGGTGTGTTACATAACGATTTTAGAACTGAAAAATTTCGTGAATAATATATTGCCAGAATAATTATGTCGTCCTATAAATAAATTTCTGTTGTTTAGAAGTTTAGCAATGTGATACAACGAATAGGTGAGATATCAGGTGTAGCGGTCTTGACCCGGGGCGAAGAAGACCAAAATTTATTGAATCTTGCGTTACCTAATTAAGATAATCCCTCAAAGATATGTACATATATTACAAATAGTTTACCTTTATTGCCATTTTGAAACCAAAGTTCCGATTTTGGCAAAAAAATTTTTGGATTATGATGTATTTGCAGTATTTCTTTAGTTACATTGACATTGTTAATGAATATAGATGATAACTTCCATTCAAAAAAAATACATAAACATTTTCGAAGGAATAGAAAGTTAATGTAAAGTTTACATATGTCAGTTTAAGTCAATTGTAACGATAATTGTGTAAATTTATTAAAATATAAACCCCGCTGGTATTTCGGGTGAGCGAAGGTGGAATGTTTTTTTAAATGTTTTTCCAAGAGAGAACGTTCGCTTCGGTATGCATAATCTACTGTTTATAATAAAATTATCGCCAATCGCTACTTGCCGATGCTTTGGAGATAACATCGACTGCTGCATGAGTTATTGAAATTCAATAAGGTCCCTGACATCTGAGAATACAAATGAACCAAGTTTTTCAAAATCGCCGCTGAACGTCTCAAGTATTTGACCTTTCTAAACGAATATCATATTATACAAACGGTTTATTTAAAATTAAAATGATAAACATGTTGACAATTTCATGCTTCACTTAAAAATTAAAACTCTAGAATTCGATAAATACTTAAATTACATGAATACGTGTCAATCTTGAGGTTTTTTTTTTTAAATGTCCCCTTATGTATGTCTTCCGCCTTCTATCTTTGAAGCTCTGATTCAAAATTTATCCAGATAGGAACTTTTGTAAGTAAATTCCAATTCACTTCCTCATTACCTTTACTAGGTACCAATAACGACAAGCGTTTCATTATAAAATAAAACTATCGTCTTGATTGTCTATAATATGCTGTAGGTGGATAGAATATTCAGTTTAGAAACCCGCGTTAAAAATCTTGTCTACCTGAAGGTTTTGCCTTTTTCTTTTATTTATTTTGCAGGTTATGCTAGCAGCTGAGGGAGGTTAGAAGTTAATTCCAAACGGTTATTTAGAGTGAGAAAGACAGGGGAAGGGGGAGAGGGAAGTCAGTGGTACATTAAAAAGCACTTAAGATGTGCTTTCGAAGTGAAGTTCTATTCTATACTAGGTACCCGGTCTGATGATAGGGAGGGAGGGTGTAAAGTGTAAACGTGTTGGTTATAGAGGCTGGGAACAAGTGGAGAGTTTTTGGAACTATTAATTTTCTGTCTCACGACTGGTCCTCTCGTCGTTCTTTGTATAGTCGATTTTACAACTCGGTGGTTGTCTAAAAGAATACGACGGCGTTAATGGCCGCCGTATGCAGTTGTTCTGGCAATTAAAGCAGTTTTAAATACTCCGGGTCATGGTTTCAGTAACACGAGAACTATTGTTTCCTAATTTACATTTGCTGCTTTTATTGGTTTTCCCCGGTGTGTATCGTTTTACTACATAACTTATAGATCTTGTCAACAAACTTAGAGACATCTGTTGTTTACCAAATGCCATTGTTTCCTAGTAAATATTTCCTTTACTTATTTATGTACATCGTTCGTTACATTTACATAAACATTACCACACGAAAAGAGATTCTCAAGAAGTTTTACAAAATGAAACGCTCGAAATCATGTTACTAAATTTCCTATTAAATCAGGTCCTAATTAGTGTTACTGTTTGTACATTTTTGGAGACAATTAATGTTAATAACAAGAATTAAACAGTAGTAAGTAACAGTGCAATAGAGACGCAAGGTTTAGGTTTTGAACTCAATTTCTTCGTAATTCCTCATTCCAAACGATTCCAACAGCTCAGAATTGAAATAATACTGGGTTTATTTTGAGATATTATCAAAAATCTTCAGCATCGTTAACTACACNATTCAGTCTCTCTGTGAGAGACTCGAATCTCTGAATTAACAATTTTATCGTTCGAGTCTCTCATACAGAGTCTGTGAGAGATCCATAAAAACACCTAGGCAATAACTGAGAGACTGTGAGAGACACTCTCAGAGGCGCTGAAAGACTCTGAGACTGAAAATTTTTGTTTTTTTTTTTCCCTCATTTTCATCAATCGCCCGTAACATCACCTCTCAAACGCTTTTTTCCGACACGCTCACCTCTACAGGAACTGTATAACGAATTAATTGTCTTTAGTACCCTTTCATAGCACTTTTTCTAGGTCATTGCAATAGAGCATGTTCCGATGAATAAATACCCCAGGGCGTCATTTAAAATTGTAAATGCTCGTCGTTTTTAACAGAAATATCGTAATTCGCATTTCGTTATGTATTTATGTGAATAGGTACATCTTCAAAACGATCAATAGTGACGAGGTATTGTTGCAAAGAGCAGTTCGTTTGATCCCTCTTCGCGATTTTCGTCTCCCCCAAAAGCGTCATTTGAATTCATTTCCATAGGAATCTGCCACGAACGAGACATTTCCCTCGAGAAGGAAGGAAAAGTTCACACATTCGACGTGCTCGTATATATAAACACACGCCAACTTTTCCGTCCGAGTATTGAAAAGATCGACCCATCACCTGCATGCAGTTCGTTTATTTGCAGAGTTAATACAGCGATCGTCTTCGTACGAAACTTCTACCCAGCGCCCGCCGAAAAATAATCGTACTTGTTGACGGGGAAGATTTCACATCAAAGAATTACCATATCAAGGAGGCACTGTCTGATGTCGGTCCAAAATAAAACATATCGAATTTCGTCACTCAAACGCTTCACTGCTACCGTAAAAAAAAATGGTTTATGTATAGGCGGCGTGTTGCTCAATCATTTCTCTTCAACTGAACCGATGAAATATGATGCTGCACAGCCAGGGTTTTATTTTTCTTAATAAACCAGAAATCGATAACTTAAAATCCGACATTATAAAAGCGGTCTTTATATTTTGTTAAAACGAAATTTTCAACTCACCCTTAAAATTAAATTTTGTCAAATTCTGAAGTTTTAGTCAGTAATAGCTTCTAGAAAATTTTATCAATATGAAGGCATGGACCCACAAAAAGACCAATGATTCCTAAATTACAAGGGAACAGGAATAAAGCTATGACAACTGTAAATATATAAAACTTATTAATACAAAGTATGTTACAGAATGTATCAGAACCCAGTCTAGAAAATATTATGATCTATGCCTGGGCATTAACAACAACAAGCATATTAAACAAATTAAATGCACAAAAGAAATCTCAAGAAAAACCTGCATGGCAAAAGCGTTTGAAAAGCTTAAAAGAAACGAAGGCAATTAAACCCGAGCAACAGAAGTACTGATGAAGAATTAGAAACAATGAAACAAAAATTACAGGCAAAAGCTAAGAGACTGAAACGATATCGAAAATCGAATCAAAGGAAAATTGATAATAGGATGTTTAACACAAATGAAAAACTTTTTTACAGATCTCTTGAATGTCAAAAGGTTTTAATCAAAGATGCCCCAAGAGTTGAAGATATTACTGAATTTTGGTCCAATATATGGTCAAAACCTGTAGAGCACAACAAGAACGCAAATTGGATTTGCGAGGAAGAAGAACGAGTAAGATCGGATACATCAAACATTAAGAAATGTATACGTAGGTAGGTCTGAGAGACTTCAAAATATGAATACTCTGACCTGTAAATATTAACAAATTATACAGAATCGAAAGAACAAACATCTATGAAAAGTAGACCACCCTAATATTCATTATGTATTTTTAATGTAAGAATGAAAGGATGTCTCGTTCCGTGTAAGTATCCCATCGGTTAGATTTATGGTCAAAGTGTCGTGATAACTTCGAAAAACAACGGCAAACAACCTCTACAAACACTAGAGGTTTTTCTTATCTAACGCATAAATCGTCTGTCCTTTTTTGTGTCTTGAATTAATTATTGGCGTTTCTGCCTCCCTCTTGTTGTCTATCCCATTGTCAAACTGTCAAGTCGATGTTTGACTTTCGAATTTTTGTTGCAGGAACAAAAAACCCGAGGTACCACTGCTCGAAGAACGTCAACTCGGCATCCGGTATCCGGGAAACAAGGAGGCCCGTAGCCGCACATCATGTGACAGCACAGACATACGCAGAGGGGTTGCTAGTTATACGATAAAATGTGTGAGCGCGCGTGTGTGTTTGTGATGTGACGTCAATGTCGTTGTAGGACTAGGACCCCCTAAAGCCGTGCCATCATCGAAAGACACCCTTCGTGCCTGCATCGAGTTACCATGGCGTCTCCTCCCGGCCCATGTCTGTCACTCACGGTGATATTGGCATTTTTTCTCGGCATCGTCTGCTCTAATCAAGGTTAGTTCGATGCTTTGTGAAATATAGATTACGAAGGGATCATGGAAACCAGATTGCATGCACCTATACGTATATGGATTTCCTCCCGCAACTGTGTTTTTTTAGATAGATACTATTTTTTCCACAGAGGAAACACGTTTCCAAATATAGCCGCATCATCAGGGATTTAAATATCGGATAGAAGAAATTGATTAATAAATGTTTTATGTTATGATGTGGGTCAAATTACTCAAGTTTAGCTTTTAAACCTATTCACAGAAATTGCTTTAAGGATGTTTATGAGGTATGTCAGAATGCTACGAGATAAATAAAAATTTAGAAGAACGTTCCTCATTCAACTCTAAAACTCCTGTAAAAATTACAAATCGATTCACTAAACCGTTAAAAAGTTATTGAAATTTTAAAAAATTGTAATTTTACACGTCATTTTATGGAGATTCGTTAANCATTCCCACCAGCCACTAATGCTGACGGGCGGGCAGCCCTCTGGAGTACGCCGGAAGGCAGGGCGGAAAGCCCTCTTCAGTCTCTTTTCAGGAATCGTGGGAATGGGTGGGTTGTGGTTCGGGTGAGAAAGATGAGACGGACGAATTGAAGACAGAAGAGAATGAAAGATTATCTATGGAATATTACTGCTCCAGCATTTGCCTAAGTTATCCAAGGAAACCACAAAATAACTTGGACCAAGGCAGACGGATTCGGAATTGAACCGGCGTACTCTCGAATACTAAGCAATAGACTAAACCTCTAGGCCATGCCGCTCGGTCCTTCTACCTCTATAAAAGTTTTTGTTTATATATCTAGTTTTTATGGGATGAAAAGCTTTTGNGATGATGATGATGATGATGGACTTCGATAAAAATTTTCAAAAACATCCACACCCCACCTAAAATTATTTGTCGACACTAATTACTGAAGTAACGTAAACGTTATAGGGAATTTTTCGAAATATAAAGCATTGTTTTTGGGTTTACACTACCTTTGTAGGTATTTTTTTATCTTTTGTAAAAAATTATAGTGGACGTGTTGCCCTGTTATTTTTCTAGGAACTATAGTAAAAAGCACCTTTTCATAAATTCAACATAAAACAACACTTTCTATTTTAGAAACTGTTGCAGGTTTCTGAAACCGAATACCAATTTATCGATCAATAAACAATTAAGTCACTAATATTATGTATGATGTCGTTTATTTCTAAATTTGCCTTTTGTAAATAACGTGTTGTGAAAGGATTTGATGATAAACGAAAATTAACTTATCGTGGGATCAAACCATTATACCTAGTCAATTCATTAAAAGCATTTAGAGCTTAATCACGCACAATCTTCAATTCAGCTTCGTATTCATATCGCAACATATTTTCTTTCGCCTTTTCAGCGGTATTTTATAGTATGCCATTATACTGTAAATGCCCTCATCTATACAAAAGTTACTAAATGTATCCTTTATAAATTCGTAATGTATACACGTCGGCCTTCCTATTGATTTCAAGCGGTTTCCATAAGGTTACGCTTGCATTTATAAATGTACAACGCTGTCTGCAGGAGGAAACCAAATAGAATTCTTAATTACGTTAATAATTCTATTTTACTTATACATATTACAAGTGTTAGAAGCACAAATAGGAGTTAAAAGAGGCAGACTTAGACCAAAATTAGATTAATATTTCGAGAAATGCAATGATTGACTTCAGATGGGAAGAAGTGAGATACGCGTCCAATGCTAAGCAATGGTCTAAACCTCTAAGCCATGGCGTTCGCTGCTCATTATCGGATTATGCACATTTATAGGTGCATTTATGTTCTTCAAAAAGCAAAAGTAAAGGTACATTCACACTAGACGAACAAAATTTGAACAAGAAAAAACCTTTTGCAGTTGCTTATTTTCTTATTTCGAACTACTAACGTTGGTCAGCCGGGAATCTCCTCCACCGACAAATATGGCGGAACTGTAAGGTAGAGCGAACGTTCATTGATAAAAAAACATTAGGATTTCTAAATTATTAGTTGAAAACTATTCTAAATTAACCAATCACATGTTGAATCTGTTTCGAAGATTCTGTTTGAGAAGTAGATACCTTCTTAAAGCCCTTATCAGAAAATTACATACTACAGTTAGGAGTAAATATCGGTGCATGGAATAAGCAACCTTGAAAGCTATAAAATATTGCATCTATAGTGGAAGGGGAAGGGCGAACAAGCGTTCACTCGCTTAGTCCGCGCTTGCCTTTACTATTTTCTTTAATTCTATAAAAAGTACTACTTGACTGACAATGAGTCAGAGAAACAGACAGACAAATAGTAAATTATGCTAACAGTTGCTTACATAAACTACCATATTTATCATTATTACAAAAGATCCAAAGCGAATTAATTTGAATATAGTATAGTACCGTAGACATTTAATTGCGTTTGTATGCTTATATGCAGCAGACAAAATGAAAAAACTAAGTATTTACAAGAATCCTTAGTAAAGGAAATATAAATAAATGGTCGTCCTGTAGAGAATTATATTGCATTATGCAAAGCGTTTACACTCATTCGCCCATACAAAGTATCCCATCAGCGCGGCGAGAATTTAACAGAGTTGTCGACAATGTTGCCGAACATTTTTGTAATAACTTTTAATACCCACACACCTCGCAATTTAAGAACGAGAAGATATGTCGATTTGCTTCAGTCATTGTATGATTTCATATCTCAATTGACGTGCAACAAAAACCTGCTATACCTACAGAAGTTTATTGTATCTGATACGTTATTTCGCATTATCTTGCATAAGGATAATGTATTTCTTCTTGGTAATCATTACGCCAATTTAGGCATAGACAGGAGGGGAAAAACTGTTCATTATTCTTACCATAAGAAAAAGATCCAATATAAGATCATTATTCCTTGTAAAATTATTTTATCGTCCTCGAAAACTAGTAACTCAAATTAATCCAACCCTATCGAAATCGTCATGGTGAAAATCCCCTTCCTCACACCGTTAAGAGGACTCCTTAATTACACCAATTAAATCAGTACAGAATATATTTGTAAACAAAACTATGCAATCTTTGGCGAACACATTCTTAAATTTCAATTGTCGTTTATACCTATTCCACGGAAATTTTTTTTTTGCGATTGAATTTTTAAAATCCACTTTGTAAATCATAACGTGGTAAATGTACTAACTTTTTCCATCAGTTTTTCATTATTTTAAAAGACAAATAACGACAAATAACCATAACATCAGTGGATGTGTCACTGCAGTAAAATGGGAGCATTGTCACAAATCATGTTACCGGAAGTATATACATAATAATATTTAAAAGCCTTTGCATGTTTCAGCTTCTGGCTTTGACCATTCATAGTTGATGCGAATAAATATTTTTCAGGAAAATTGGCAAATGTCCCTGGAGAAAAATTGCTATTTAGATCATGTTGAATAACATTTTTCCTTGAATAGGAAGATTTGGAAATAGTTGATATGAAGTTGAAATCATTACCATAAGGTCGTCAGTCCTAAGACTAGTTGGACAGGCACCTCTACTTTTTCCTATCCTGAGTTAATTTTCGCATTTAAGTCTACTATACTCCTCTTTACTTCTGTTTCTGCTTCTAATATGTTTCCAACTAACCCTTCATGCCTTTGTGACCTCTATTCTCATATTCTTTGTAATACCTTCTCATATGCAGCCATTTCTATAAACGGTATCCTCATTATTCGCTTATAACACATTTAGAAGGGGGTGTGCTCCATCTGTATATTCCTATGTCTATGGTCTAGACAGTTTTATATGTGGCAACAGTGGATCCTGAAAGTAGACGGCCATTAGCTTGGGAACTTTTTCGAGACGAGAAAAAGTCAGGTATAATAAAAAAGTTTAAAAAACGAGAAAGAAAAGAGTCAGCTCTTTCCGTTTCACGTTTGGGATGACAATGAGATTATGCATCATCCACTCACTACACGCGCCCCATTACAAGACAATACTTCATTTAAATTCAATTCCCGATTTTTAAATGCAAATCTTCGATACAGCTAATGGCACGTTACAGATAGATCGCGATACCTGATCGAAATGGCATGGCATGGCATGGCGCAGCACGGCAAAACGTAGCCGTGCTAAAGCTTGACATGGTGCAATAATTTATTTATTGTTTCCGAGACGGGCCTGTTGAAAGAAAGGTCAGACAGACGGGACCAGAGGAGAGCTTGTAATTTAGATTGTCTCGGCGGGTAATTAGTTCCCCATGAAAATTGCTCAGCAGGTAGAAGAGGAGACATGAATCACAAAACAATAAGAGATACTATTTATCCTTTCTTTTTTCTTAATAAAAACTTTTGTGCATAAATAATAACAATTGAAAACTAGTTTAACTAACAACATCAGTACAAATCTAATTTGTTGTAATTTCTTCTTTTTAACTAACCATAATGTGATAAAATTTCTTGTTTTCATCATCATCATAAGGTCATCAGTCCTAAGACTGGTTGGACACGTACCTCTACTCTTTCCTATCCTGAGCTAAACTTCGTATTTCCCTAAAACTAGAACAGCCCACATCCTTAACTATTTGCAAACAGTAGTCTAATCTAGGTCTACCTCTACCCCTCCTAACTCCTGTTTCTGCCTCTAATACGTCTCTCACTAGACTTTTATGCCTGAGAAGGTGTCCTACGAACCTATCTCACCTATTTCTTATTGACTTCCATAGAGTCCTCTCTTCTCCTATTCTTTCTAATAACTCTTCATTTCTAACCTTTTCTACCCGCGTTATCGACATCATCCACCTATAACACCACATTTCGAAAGCTTCTAAATTTTTCTTTTTCGTCGCGCCCACTGTCCATGTTTCGCACCCGTACAACACCGTTAATATTAATAAAAGAATTTTATGCAGTGACAATCGTGAGATAAAGAGATTAAAAGCTTGCATAATTTTTAACATTCGCCCCTTCCATCCACGGAGCGCATACCCATCTCTTCCCGTACCTACAGTTTACAACTGTGATTT